AATCAAGGTCTATGAGGACATTTTTTCGGCTCCCTAAGCACTCCCGACACAGAACATCGAAGCTTCCGTGCGTGAGAATCTGCCCGCGAAAAGGAAATATGGAGTGGTCCGCTCCACCGAGGGTCGGGGTAATCGAAAAGCTCCGAGAGCACTGAAATTCCCCTGTGCTTGTCACAAACCATATATTCCGAATGTCTGGGGAAGTTCTGAATGAGACGCAAACAGAGAATACACTCAATCCTTCTCAATGCGTAGGCGTTCGATTGCTTCTGTACACTTCACGAATCGGCTCAGACGAGTCATACTCTCGTCAGAATTCGATTTCGAGACTTCCTTTCCCTGAGAACATCTTCGAAAATAGCAGGTGATATTCCGTCAGTTTCGATCGGCCGAAAGATTCGATGCGGCAGATGGAATATCTAAATTTCGTTCTCTTCCCTTGCAGACGGTCACAAAACGAAACACGGAGACAACCCGACGCTCCCGCTGCCAGTAGTGGTAAGAACGAACACAAGATTTCCGGTGCCAAGTATACAATAACGATTTGCTTTGCGAGGATACTGCGATCAGGATCGATCCCTCGGACAGCTCCTTGAACAAATCGATCCGCCGTCTTGTAGCAACACTTATCAGGCCTGTTCAGCGCTGTCTTTGCTTGAGGTCTTGTTTCCTTTATCCAAAGTCAACATCGGGCCTTCCAATAATAGGCTGCTGAATCGAGAGGGAGGAAGGCCTATTATTGGTCCTAATCGCCGCGCCTAATATTTTACGCGGGGAGGTTTCACCTGAGTCGTGGCAGTGCGCGGTCTGATCTTCGTCACGCGGGAGGATTTGTTGTTCTGAAGATTCCTGCTATCGGTTGAATCCGTCGTCGATCGAAAATTTACTGCGCTGTCAGATTCCCGCGAAATTCAATAGTCCGGACCACGGTCGAAATGGAATCGAATGCTTACTCAGGCAGCGGCGTGAAAAGCGGATATGAAACCAACTCCCTTCGAGAAATTGCTCAAGATTCGAGCGCAGACATTAATCATCGGGAGAGTTCCTGGTCTTTGTTGGAAATGGAGCTGCCAACTTCGGAGGAGGAACGAAATCGAATTCCTGCAGGAGGCTTTTGATCCCCAGACAGATCCGATGGAGTCCGATCAGAATGAACCCTTTGCGCTGCGACTGGAAAGTGCTCCTCACCAACTGCGCTGCTTCATTGAAACCCCTGTGGACTGTCGATACACATTGACTCGAAATATCTAGTAGCAATACAGATTTGCTGGCGGAGAGTGAATCAAACCTCCGGCATTGCGTTGAATTCCTTTGCTGAGTCATGACGACGCAAGAATTTTCCGCATTGGAGGAAAATGCCCAAGATTCAAACTCAAAAAATGTTGGCAATCGATCGCAACGTCTCGCAGCTGGATGCTACAGAAGAATCTCGACCGAAAGTTCACAAAGGCTTGTTCCACGATCTACGATCATGAACATCACCGGAATACGCGGAATTCCCATTGAAGCGGGTACAATCGAAACGACAGCGAGCTACTATTCTCCCGCTTGATGGGAACGAATGTTCGGTCGGAGGTGGAGATGAATCTCTTTTCGTGTGATTCGTTCCCACCTATCTTAATATTAATGATGCAGAGGAAAAGAACATCTGCTCTGCGTCATCTGCAGCCCTCTCTTATATCGGACGAACTTCTCCATCAACGAAGTTCTACTCTCGTTTTCCGCTGCTGTTGGGCTCCGATAAAGTCGCTGCTTCCCACGAAAGTTTTTGCGAGACGTGGAGTCTGGTTGCCTCCGCGCTGACCGCGACGAGTCGACCCAGATCTGTCTGGGTAGATAGCGCGGATGAGAGACCTCCATTCTTATGCATTTTTTCGATTCATGGCAGGTCTACATTAAGGGCTCTCTCTGGATTTTTCTTGTAAATCTTCAATTTCGAGAGATCTTGCCTCGTGTGTCAAAGGAGTGGAAAGGTGGAAATTGTCTCCACGTCCAATCCAATTCTGCTGATCTATGGTCTAAGCGCCTAGAGCCCGGATATCCTTGATCAGACGATCTTAGGCCATAGACACTTATTGTTAGTGAGACAGAGACTCCTCCAATCCAATTGGACCCAATCTGTAGAGTCCGAGTTCACTATTAGGGAGGAGTTCGGGAACCGCGGGCGAGTTCTTCCGCAAGTTCTAATCCTTAAATTCAACTCTCTTTCCAGCCCCAGTCGAACCTCCCCGTGCTCTTCATGGGCACAGCGCTCCTGATAATCGGATTCTTCCTGCTGGCTTCTGTTCTCCTATTCGTTCGACGTAAACTACCCCTCAGCCGAAGATGTCGCGACATAATGAGTCTCCGAGTTCAAGGGTTCCGCCTAACAAGGAGCCGATCACTGAACAAAGGGATACAGTAAGTAAATTCCTCGGGCGCTCGATGAAAAGTCCATCCATGCATCGTCCGGCAATCGAGCGATATCCTAAGCTCTCTTCGCACATTGAGCTCGCTCATCATTCGGATATTCAGAAGACGGATGATTTCTATCAAATCTCGTGCTGATCGGTCGCCGGAAATGTGTATATCCTCCTCCACGGAATCGAACGTCTCTCGGGCTTCTCAGGTGAAGCCGTGGATGCTCTGTGAATCGCAAGTCGATCCTATATCCGCGAAGCGCTTGGGATCGATTTCGAATACTAATACTAATTCACAGCGGTTTGAAAGATAAATAAGACAGATGCAGATACGTTCCTTCTGAGCAGAGCGGAAGGAGAAGGTTGAACGAGTGTGCTCATGTTCGTCGCAGTATCTGCTATGCGGTGAGCAGTAGCACGTAGCACTCATCTGCTAGAGAATTGTCCCGTGGAGGATTCTCCTGTCGGGCCACACCTCCAACACCGTGACCGTCATGCCGGTGCTCGTCCGTAGGTCGATATTGACACCAGCTGCTCGCTCGGCTTCCCTCGGCGGAAACACGACACGGGAAGACGAAGAAGCCGAAGTTTCCGTCGATGACCGCTACAAAGAATGATTTTCTGCTCTACTAGGAATGCTTTGTTCCTCATTCATTGCATTCCGCTTGAATGAGAGGGAGTCAAAGAGAAATAACCCGCCATAGGCATCAACGTGTGGCTCAGCGAGCAAAGCCGCTGCTACGGTCGCAGCTTGCAGCAACAAAGCTCTGGCAGAGAGTCGGGTCTATTGTATCCAAGACAGCTACCACAGAAGTCACGGCCGAAAGTTATCATTTCGCTCGACTGAAAATGATAAATGTCAACTTGTTGTTGATGTTACTTTCGCCAGCATCGTCGCTGCCGGTGGTACAGATGATTATTGTACATTAGGCAAAAAATAGCCGCGTTGAAACAGCCGACAGGCGATGATAACGCACCAGAGTCGAATAGCACCGGCAGCTGCAGCAGTGATCAGCATCCAGACACCGATAACGTTCGAATAAGCTGAATGATTCCGTTCATTGTTCACTGGCTGTCCAGGAGGTTTTCTGGGCTCTCGACAGACGAACGAAATTGGCCACTTTCCTCCCGAAGGCTTGAGCTCTTCCGCAAACCCACATCGGAGGTATTCCATATCCGGTCCACCGACGCATGAGCGCCTCTGGATTTCCACGGGAATCGACATCCAGGACAACATGGTCCATATCATTCGCAATGGCCGAAAAAAACCGGAAAACCCTCTATAGTATCTATTCTCAGCACCTTCATGGAGGGTATTCGAAGTGCATCTCTCCTCAATCGGTTCCGCGGAAGAAGATTTCGCATGTCGATTCACCGACTGTTTCATTCTTGAGAGCCCAGTGTCCCGACGGACGTCTAATCAGCGGAATCCATCAACTGGCGTCATAATCGGCTGGCTCGTTGAATTCCCGAGATTCGGACGCGTACCCACTCTTGTGAGATATTGATTTCGCTGCCTGGACTCGCCATGTCAGAAGATGCTCCTCGGAAATCGGCGCATCGATCGGGCAACTGGTATCATCTACCTGAAACTTCGTTTGCTCGTCCGTGGGAAGTTAAGTCCAAGTCTCCAAGATTGATCCTGCAAAGCGTCGATTTCATCGATCCGGATTTGTTTCGCAGAAGAGGGGAGGCTCTCTCGATTCGAACTTCTGGCAATATCACCGCCTCTTGCGATGATCCGAGTACAGAAGTAAAGTCTGTCTGTGAAGTTTTGTCGTAAGCAACGGACCCGCATGAGGGCGCCCCTCTGAGCACAGAGCTTCCTGTCGACAAAGGACGACCCTGAAAAGCCCTCTTTTTGATTTCAATCGAATGCTCGAGTCGGGTAGAAGTTTCTGGCATCGGAGTATCTCCGCCATCCCACTCGCGTCAGTGAATTCTCAGTCAGGGAAGAGCGCTATCTACGTCGATTTAGGCGACGAGTGTTTCGTCGCTACCCGAGTCGAGCAGTCTGACTGATATGAGAGTTGTCTATGGAAATCGATCTGCATCGGATCAGGAGCAATTTGTTCAAAAAAGAGTCATCCGACGATCCGGGCTCGTCCGGGATTTGAACCCGGGACCTCTCGCACCCAAAGCGAGAATCATACCCCTAGACCAACGAGCCACAATGACTGCAGCGTCTTCAGACCAGAAAATCCACGCCGTCAGTCGCTGCTAAAATTTGGACGAAATTGCTCCACGGGCCCTTCCAAATTTCCCCGGAGGAATCCGGACATCCACCGAAGACAGAAAGAAGTATAGTCGAAGCTCCGCCTCACTTCGATGCCAGGGTTAAATATTCGATATCGGGAGTCCGCTGAAATTTTGGCTCGTTGGTGAGAGCAGACCCACGTTCCTCACAGCCTGTGCACGCGGTCTAATCGAGCGATTCTCGAACTTCCGCAACGGGACCCTGAGAGACCTCTCGGCGAGACTCTACTAGCGCCATTTCGCTGAGATATTCGATGCAGCAAGACGGAACTTGGTATTTTGCAGGAAAGCCGGTGTCACTATACGACCCAAACCCCACAATTCTCAGTCAGCAGCAAAAATATACGCAGCCGGCAGGATTCGAACCTGCGCGGGGAGACCCCATTGGATTTCGAGTCCAACGCCTTAACCACTCGGCCACGACTGCACACCGTACCCACGGACCAACGGGATGTTTTCGGATGCGAAGCCGCCAGAATCATCAACCGGCTTAGGCCGCTTGGATAGAATGCGCAGACGTTCAAACATAACAGGATCATCCGTCGAAGCCGAGGCACCGACTGATCGCTCGTCGCTAGAGCGCTACCTACGCATTTCTCGCAAAACGACATCCATCGTCAAGAGATTCTACCGCCACTTTTCCCAGTGAGTGGGTATAGTGCGATACTTTTCCGCTCATGGTTGACGATCGGCAAACTCCAAAATTATAACGCAGTCGGCAGGATTCGAACCTGCGCGGGGAAACCCCATTGGATTTCAAGTCCAACGCCTTAACCGCTCGGCCACGACTGCTCAGAAACTTAGAGGCCGAACAGGCCCGTCTGTATATTGAGGCAAATGATTTCGCGTAAGTGTCAGGAATGAGCCAACCCGGTCGGATATGAGGCACGGCGGAAAAGGCTCAAGCGCTTTTTCGAAAAGTGGCGGGCTCTAACTGCAGCGCCGCGAGATCTCCGAAAGAGAGGGCGAGGAGCAGGCGGGGCCTGGGTTATCAATTCCTGCGTATCATCGATCGATAATGACGCGTTCACCTGATCGTGGGCACCTAAGCTGATGTGGAAAAGTCAATTTTGATGAGTATCTGCGATTTTCCTCCTTGTGGTCGAGTTTCTCGGTGGGACTCACCGGCCGAGGGCTTGATGACGCGGCGGCTGTCTCCATGGAAACCAAAATGGAGGGCGATGGTACTCACGTCAGTCAGGCTCGACGAGAGCCGTGGAAGAGCCTCGCTCTCGGAGACTGGCCAACCCAACGGTTTCCAAGGACCCTCTGACTACGAGAAAAATAACGCGAACCGAATTTTAGACTTCCGCACTGTTGCGCATCAAGTATCTGTTGCGAGCCGCAGCGGTTTACCAGAGATCTGGTCAGCGACATCATTCTGAACTCGGGAGAGAAAACTCTCCGGGACGACTCCCGCTCCCGAGGAGACGATTGCGCCCTGACTGGACGCGATAACCATCTGAAAATTATTATTGAGCGGCGTCGCGAGTTATGCTGATAATATAATTATAATAATATACCGAGAGCGAAGAGCGGCGCCGAGAAGCACGAAAAAGGAACCAGGCCCCGGCGGGGTTCGAACCCGCGATCTTCTGTTTACGAGACAGACGCCTTACCACTTGGCCACGGAGCCACGAGTGCAGAGGCTACATCGGAGCAAGTTGAGCTCAGCGGACATCGTCCACGATCAACCAAGGTGAAACGGCGGAACTCTCTGGATCAGTCGGACGATTGCGGAGCGAAATAAGAAGGGGCGATGGGCATCATCCGTAAGAGGATATCTTTGGCTGATTTACGCCGACAGAAGAAACCGATATCGAATCGAGTAGCCCAGCTCGTCGAGCGTCGCAGACATTCTTCGGGGCAGAATTCCGATCAGAGTGCTGGAGGGCTCCCAAACCATAAGTTTCAAGCGATGCGATGCCTCCTTGGCAGACTTACGGTCCTCTATTTCCGCTTTCGGGTCACTCTCACTTCCAGCCCTCTCGAACTCTAGTCTGACGATTGCACTCTCACATTTGCCACGCACTCGCTAGAAATAACTTCTTCCCACACGACAAACGAGACATCAGGTCGAGTCACAGACTCAACGTTCGACCGAGAGACGACAACGAATTACTTCCGCTCCTGGGGGATGGAACAACGCTGTTCTTGGTGCATCGACGATGGGCGCCCCCGTTGGATTAGGCACTCAACCTGGGCGTATCTCCTAATTTTTCCGGGACCGGAATCATGGGAAAGCAAAAATTCCGAGGAAGCCGTTGGGGAACGGAAAGGCTGAATTATTGCACAGGGGGGTCGATTGGCCTGAGACCTCGATGTTGGAGGCGGTATCACTAATTGTTTCCGCGACGTCTTCAATACGACAGGCAGGCCACGGTTCTGGTTCCTATTATGGTCTGAACGTGAGCGTAGCGTCTCTTTGTTGGCGAAAATGATAGCTCAAGCTGCAACGTGGAGGAAACGTGGCTGCTTCGCTCAGCATCTATGGCGATGGGACGGATACAATCCACCATATTGGCGCAGAGCCGATGATCGAGTACGCAGTTACTTTGTAAGAATATTCTAACGGCAATCTAAGCAGCGATGGTTACGATGCTATTATTCGGAAATCGTTTTCGCCAGAGGCAATATGCGGCGTTCCTACGAGTACACGTGAAATAATTTTCTTGTGATCGCGACATGGGCGAGCTTTGTCATCAGCAAAGAACCTACTCGATTGTTGGAGAGAGCTAACAATGATCGCAAGGTGGGTGAATGGAGCGAGAAATATCTAGGTTTCGAGCTCAGCCACATGGATGATTTTGGGGGCATGCGGAGATCTCTCCTTGCCATGTCTCGTTCATCGAGATGTGGTCTACGCTCACAACAATTAGGGGCGGATTCGCCCATTAGGCTAACAGGCGATGGCCTTATGCAAAGGGTTCCGACCGGGCGGCAGCTCATAGGAAGCTTGCGACTGTCGACGAAAAAGACGAGTTCTTCGAAGGAAACGGCTCCTCTCTCAAGGAATGCAATTATGTGGAGAACCATCTCGATATTGCGATCCCTCCAGGAATCCTTGTGGGAAAGCGTCGCGCGTCGTGATTCATCTCGTGGGCGAAGTTTCGCAAATCCGCTCCTGTCTCCGATCCGTGGAATGCTCCGGCGTTATCGGCGGGTATGCGCGCCAGTTCGTTGGGCTCTCCACGAGAATCGGGTCGACCCGGGAGGATGTCACGTCATGGATAGAATCGTGGGATATTTGGTGGGAGCGGGGTTTTCCGAAGTTACGGCCACAACTTCCGGAGTATTGAGCTTCTCTAAAAGGAATGAGCGGGAGATAGCGACCCTTGAGGGATCTACGATCGCCGAGTTTCGATTCGAAGCTCAGCCGTGGACTGAAACTTGTCAATCGCCCAATGCATCGAAAATCCGACAAGCGATCAAAGCGACATGGTGTAGAATCGAAAATCTTCCAGCTCACCAGACTCAAATCCTTTTATTTCTGCAGGTATGTCACGAATCCCGCCTACTATCCAACACACTTAGACTTCAAAGGAGTCCCGATCGAGATTGAAATCGGACCCGACAACGTGACGTTCCTGGAAGTCATCGGCGAGGGGTAAGGCCTCAGTTTTTTAAAGATAGTTCCTATTGAACATCAAGTCGAGCTTTCCACTGGAAACCATTTTGAGATCTCGTCAATCTCGAAGGACCCCAAGCCTCCGGCCCGGATTTCCCTCCTTAGGAGAGGATATGTACAGCGAGAGCTCCGAAGAGTATGCAGCTGGGAGTGGCAGAAGATTTTCCGTCTGCTCTCGACGGCGATAATTGGAACCGTGTTCTCGATTTTTAAAACTGTATACCGAGCTCGCAAACCGGACTGTTCTTTTGGTGAAGAGCGCTTCGGCCATCCCAGTATATCTGTATGCATAGGGCAGACGAGTCGCCTGTTCCGAGCAGGGCAGCGATTCTCGGAGGTTGTTTCAGAACTATACCTTCTCTCTATGGAATCGTTCCCGCTCATCCGCTTGTTTCCCCCAATCTCATCCTGGACGTGGTTCCCCCAGTGAGGACCCCACCACCTCTCTCGGGCAGCATCGGAGGATAGTGCGTGATCCCTAGGGCGCTCGTTAGTCATTTTCTCTCATCGCTCGGGCCCCGGAGCAAGACACAGCCCGGAAAAGCGTCAGATGCGCGTGACAGAATACTGAACATCGGGGTGCGCGAGGCACCGCAGTCTGTCTCGAAGCTAGTTCAAGGCAAGACCTGATGGAAGTGATTTTCGAAACTAGCTCGTCGGAAGCTATCCATTCCAACGAGACCAAGCACATCAATTTCCCCTTGAGAACCTGCCGCTCGAACTTGCGGCCAAAAAAATCATTCGGAGGAATTGTGCTCCCTTCTTTTATCGGGGTGTGCCGAGGGATGGATAACTCAAAAACTACCGGGTTCCCCCCCAACCCGAGAGTACCGCTTTGTTCATAACAAGAGTTACATGCATCCATGGGTGCCTATCCGAAAGCTCCGGGGGCTTGTCAACCGCGGAGGCGCTCTGGTGTTTAGTGATGAGGAGCAAACTTGCTTTGCAGACTTTGAAATTTTTGCCGCGCGAAACCCATTTCCGAGAGGTGATCGATCCACGATCATGTGAATCTCCCGGAGACCTTTGACTCGTTCGCTTTGAGGCCTCGGCATATTGGAGCAAGCTCCACATTGTGGGTGAGCGGTCTTTTCCCTGCGCTTGGTCAGCCTCATCACGAATAATTGTTTCGCTTGAGGACTGTCTTCATGGCGGAGCCCGGTGGGTTCATCCTGGAGGGAGGCTTTGGGAAGCCCGCGGTCATGGTCAAGGCCAGTCGGTCAACGGGAAAAAAGGTCAACTGAGAGCCTGAGCGAGGACTGAAAGCGTTATTACGATCCGCGGCAATCTCATTGCCGAGTCCGACACCAATGAGAATTCAGCTCCGGCGGCAATATTTCGACGATTTTTCGGTATTAAAACTTCTAGAAATATCAGCCGTGCAATTTATGCGAGAGAAGCGAGTCCAGGACTTTATTCGCTCTGCCAGGGAGGATGATCTCATTCGGAAGGATGAGGGGTGAGAGACGATTATGAATTCCTCCCTCTCGGCTGCGAACAAGGTGGAAATTCCCCCACCCCAGCTCCGGGAGCTCTGTGCTCGGGTCGCGGTACATCGCTAAAAACCGAAATAACACAGAATGAGCAGACTATGGGATCATTGTTCTGCTCCCTTGAATTGTGCGTTATCGTCGATGACGTCATTTTCGCTTCCAGGTGTTTCGGTAAAGTTCATCGAGCTTTGTACACCAACCGCGAGGGGGTGTCCCTCAATGTTGCTGTGAAAATGCTAAAGGACGTCGCGTCTCCTGAAGCCATGGCGGACTTCGAAAGAGAAGTTCTGATCATGGCAAATTTCTCCCACCCGAATATACTCAAGCTCATCGGAGTCGTTTACAAAGGTGAGTGTGACTATCTAAGGGCTGAGAGCGAGCGTCCCCAGCAGATTGATCGGATTGGCAACCTGATCACTCGACGTGCGAAGCATGTTGAGATTCCTCAGAATGAGGAGAATCTGATCAGGTTCATATCCAGCATTCATATCCACACACGCTAAATGTTCGACCTGGCTTCTGATTTCCTTCCGCGTGATTTCGATCAATTCTGGGGATACCGAAACGTTCAAGGGAATGTGTTCGGATAGATCGATTCTTCTGTGGTGTGAGCCCTGCTCTCACAGTCTATTCTTCTTTCCATTGTCGGTGATTAAGGACTTGGAGCTCCTTAGACTTGTTCGGAGTGCTTATTCTTTGCGTACAAAAATACACAGAACCCACTCGGGCGACATCGGCGCAGTCAGCCGGATAATTAAGAGAGTTTTATTCGCCTGCGTCCCTGTGCGCTTTGGAACGCTCTCTCAAGTGCTGGTTCTCGATCTTCAGAGCCCGAACCCCCAATGCTCTGGGGGATTTCCTAAATGTCGGGGCGGATTCCCCCAGCTTACGGAGGTATAGCAAAGGAGATATCCCAGAATCAACCTCGGTGAACGATCCGTACCCATTTATCGGTTCCGAAGACCCGATACTTCGAGCAGGCCTTGAGCTGGGAACAACTTCGGCGCCTTGGAGGGAGTGCAATCGACGCTTCGTTCTCCATGGAATGGGTGAAAAACAGACTCCATGTGGTTCGGGGAAACGCTCACGAATCGACAACGATTCTCTCACTAAGAATCAGAGAGATGTCGCCGAACCGGGAGCCAAGACCCATTGGCGATTGTGAGTCTCCTCACCCGGAGTCCAGTTTGGGACAGCCTCGAAATTCGATTGCTTCCTGCAGGTCTCCTTGGTGCTGTCGATCAATTCAACACATATTCCGGATTCGAGAAGACTCCTCCATCTGGCGTCCAAAATCGCGCGTTGGTTCATCGAGAGGTCCGCTGAATTGAGGCAACGGATTCCCCATCTCGATCCGAAAGCTACGTAACATTCCCCCTCAGAAAGGGCCTTATCTCCACTGATTTCGCCCGGTAACCCTCTTGAGTCGTCGCCAGCGGCCACATGACGTATCGGCTACGAGACCCAGAATATCAGAATAATTTCAAACTCATATCACTTCGCTTAGTGCCCGGTGCCCGACGCATATCTTCGAGGTAGATGTTTACTTCATCGTCCAATCGGCGGAACAATGCACAGCTGATCCGGATTTCTTAGCGGAAGTCGGCGTTGTTCCTGCAAGGATGCGCTGCGTTTCCTGATGCGTAGGAGAACGGTTCCTGGTTTGGGAGATACGACACGATCGAACGGGATTAACGATCTGAGTCGAGGGTCTCTTGGAGCTCATCTCGAATGCAGTCTTATCCTACTCCTGAGAAGTGCATGTTGACATGCTCCTGACGAAAGCGGATCGTGAACGGGTACCGAAAACGTTCAAGATCGCATAGAACTCCTATACAAAAATGGAGCACACGTGATAAGCATCGGATCTCCGGAAGGCGATTCGCTCAAATCTATTTGACTTGACTCGCTCTTTTGACTCGCTTAATAAGCTGTCGACGAACAAGTGATCCGTCGCGTGTAATGTGGATTCACGGTGGAGAGCTCGCAATTGAGGATTAGGTCGGCTTGTTCACACAGCTTGGTTTCTTGGGTTCTCCTGAGAATCATTCTAACTCGAAGTTTCGACACGACGGTGGAACATCAAACGCTCGGTACAGATCTCGGGAATCAGAATAGTATTGCCCATACAGATCAATGAGAAGCCCAGTCGGGGTTCCGCGCATGTCCGATGCCTCCGAGATCCACGAAAATTTCCGATTCGAGAAAGCATCATGAAATCGTCATTGGCCCATGAACCCATCTTTTTTCTCATGTACAGCGAACTATTCTCGATTTGAGAAGCGTTGCCGGAGGGGAACCTCTTGGAGCAAGTCTGAATGGAGTGATTCGAGGTCCCTCTTCCGACAAGCTGCGGCATCGTCAATAACTCCCGATGGGGTCTGTCCGTACGTTCGTCGGGAGGGCTTTCCTAACCACAACTGACAATGAGTTCCTGCGATTGTTGGAAACCAGGGCCGACAGAGTGCTCGGTAGTTTCTGCCGATCGCTAATACACAGAAATCGAAACATCCCAAGGGCAAGAATAGCCCCGTGTGACGCGAAGATTTCGATAACTTTGTTTATCGGACCTGCCGGTAGGAGTGAATTGTTCTTATCGCGAGCTTGCGGACCCGTGAACACAGGACGCGGTATCCACGGTCAATCAATGAAATTACTGCTTCATCCGCTGAAATCAGGAAATAGCAGATCGAAGAACCCCTCTTATCGAGTCGGATTCGACTTACTCGATCACGATATTCCGCTGATGGCGCGGCGGCGAGACGGCACACATTTTTGGTCCGGGCCTGCTATTCGAAATCGACAGCGAGGGGATCCGGTCGCTTTCGTTCTAGCTCCCCATCGGAAACACCGAATGAATTATTCGGCATCGGTGACCGACTCTCGTTCGAGTGAATGCGAATTCGCGCTCCACTGGCCAGGGGTGATTTTCGGTGGCAAGTTTCGGTATCGCTGACCCCTCTGAGGCCGCGAGGAGGAGCCTCTGACCTCGAATAAGTCTCCGTATCCGAGCCAGAGTAGCCGCGTCGGCTGCTCGCCTTCAAGCCGCGGCTGACGCGAGTTTCCATATGATCGTGAGCTCCGCGATAGGAGACTCCCACAATCTCTTATCCAACCTCAGCTCGTCGATTTCCCAATCCAAGACCGGGGCGTAGACATACGGAGAACTTCGGTGGCGGCATAGAAAGTTGAGGGAGACCTCCGGTTCCCCGGGGAAGATGATTGACGATCAATTTTGTTGCCAACATCGGCTCTCGCAAGCGGATCGATCGCCAAGAATTATCTTGAGCTCCTGTATCATTGGGAGATAGTCTCCTGAGTTTTTGCGACTTGGCAAGTTTTAATTCAGTGTTGCCTGCCAATGACCGAACAGTCTGAGAATTGAGAGAGATAAACCAGGTCCGACGCCGTATAAAACCGCACCTAACTACCACGAAGGAATAGTAAACCTACAGCTCTCAAAGCGAAAAAATGAAATCAATTGCTGTTTTCGCCTTCGTGGCCATGTTGGTCGCCGTGGCTTCTGCTGGCAACGCCGGAGGTCTTCTTGGAGGTTGGCACGGCGGACACGGAGGATGGAACGGCGGACTCGGAGGATGGAACGGCGGACTCGGAGGATGGCACGGCGGCCTCGGTGGATGGCACGGCGGAGCCGGTGGATGGCACGGAGGCTACGGAGGATGGAACGGTGGTCTTGTCCACGCTGGCTGGAAGGGATGGTGAAGTCTCAGCTCGTAAAACCCCGACTCCCTGCTTATTGACGGCAAATAAAATGGCTCATTCCCATCGGGCATTTTTCCTGGATAGATACTTGAGGGAGACTTCGAAATCGGACAGTCACATTCAGCTTAATATTGGATTATTGTGGATTCTTACGAAATCCTCCTTCAGGCCAGAACCTGAGGGACGGATCAATAGGGCGAGCGATCGTTGCGCGTTTGAAGGGAAATCGGGAGACAGAGTGGGAGTAGGAAGGTCCAGATTCTAGATTGTGATTTGCGATTCTGGCCTTCTTCTCGCCGTACGCTTCCAATTTCGCTTTCGCACGATCCTGAATGAGGACGGGGGCGATTTGCAATAGAATCCCTGAAGGCCGGAACAAAGCGATTCCCGATAAAAATCTGTCGGAAGCTTCAGAAAGCTGAATCTTTCTCTGGCTCCTTGGGCAGAGAAAGAACGTTCAGTTATGGGCGCCTGATCTTTGCGTGGTTCTCCCGTTTAACGCCTACCCTGGTTACAGCTAGCGAATGAGCGGAATATTCTGTCGCATGATCGAGCATTAAAAAAATGAGTGAGTACAGTGAGTGCAGTGAGAATCGTTACCAATGCGACATCAGAGGCGGGTCTGGAAGAGAAAGTCAGGGGATGGGAACACATTTTTTCTGTCAGATTTCCTTCAGACGTCAGATTCTCTGACGGTGAGCGGGTTCTGGATTGAATTTGCGCGGAATAACTCAGCGAGGGACAGAGGTGACATGGAGAATGTGCGTTTGAACAGGAATGGCTCGATGTCGTTCCGTCTGGGAATAGACGTTCGAAGGACATGAGGGACGAAGGGATGGCCATGCTTGAATTCCGATGTATCCGGAAGCTGCTCGCCATTATGGGGCTCGCACATGTGCAGCTGATGGATCAGTATTCGGAGTATTCCCATGACCCTGTAGTCGGATTAGCCCAAGCGGGTTCTGTGGCAGCCCAAGTCGATCCAGATTAGGAGTGCTGTCCCCCTCGTACCTCCATATGATTCCACATGTGATTTTCTCACCGCTCTGAGCGTTCAACTCGTGTGCGCGCTCCGTGCGCTGTTCCGGGGGATTGCCCCCGTCTCTGTGTTCACAGGGCTTGGGTGCGGACAGGGAATTTCTCGGAAGAATCACCTTGTGTCCAGGAAGGCTTGGCAAATGAAAGTTAAAGGAGGGCGGGGGGGGGTGTCAGCGTTCTGGGAGGAAAAAAACTCTTCATTTTTGCCTTACTCCGGACAACGGTCAAACAAGGTGGTTGGAGAATGGTGTCCGCTTTCATCGACGAGGCTCGGGGTAGCTCGTGCGAAAAGTTCTCTCCGCTCAGCTCGATCCGGGGCTATGCCATCGGAGACCTGCTGACAAACCGGGCGAAGAAAGATCGTCATTATGCCTTCAATTATCCGCTTCATAGGCGTTTCTGTTTCTCCTCGATACTTGGATACGTAGAATTTCTTATCATTGGAATCTCCCGAGGAAGGTCCAACAGCGAGCTATTAGGGCTATGGGAGCTGACTTCGGGTAGGCGAGCAATTCGTGCAGGTGGAAGGGGTCGGGTCGCGCCGTGATAGCAATTGATAGTTCGGTAAATGTTTCCATTGTCTTGTA